AGATTTCCTAGATGTATGAGGATTCGACTTCTGTAAATCCTAAAGAGATCAGAATTCGACTTCTATAAATAAGAGGGTGAACCAAACCCTAGAGGAGGTATGCTCACAACACCCTACTCTTTATACTTAACTACTCCAATTCTAACTTAAGCATGGGAGCCCGTGTGGCTAAAGCCACACCGGTCTTAGTGCTATTATGTTTTACAAGTTTCATCGATCCCTCTTATCTTGGAAGATTGGTGCGAATTTGACAAGATTCTAGGAGGCCAAATTTATGCATCAATAGAGGACATATATGCAAATTTATTTCTATTTTTTTTCTTTTTGGATATAACAACGTGTGAGGGTGGGGGTTCTAACTCATGATCGTTTGGCTGGAGATAGGTATATTACCGAGTCAAGCTAAGCTTAGGTTCGTGAGTCCTTTTTTTTTTTAAGAAAAGGAAAATTAGAGTGTTTAGAGCACATTTGATAACGATCTCTGGTTTTAGTTTTTTTATTTTTCTCTTTTATGTTTTTTGATTTTCATTTTCGCTTTTTAAAAAACACTATATATGTCTGATAACTTTTTTTGTTTTTTATATTTTAAAAAAAATAAAAAACCATACATGTTTCATAATCATTTTGATTTTTCATAAATTGAAAACCATAAAGTAAAGATAACAATAGGGTAGGGTGAGAATCAAGATTCCTTTCTCATCCTCGTCTTCGCGAAAATTTTTAGTTCTCGTCTCCACCTCATTCTCCGATTTTGGAAATCTAGATTAAATTGAGTAATTCTCGTGTACGGACGATACGAGGATAATTATCGATTAGTAATTAATCTTATTTATTATAGAATTTTAAAAATAAAGGAGTAATAACTATATATATTATATCCATTTTAAGGAAAATTTATTATTTTTCAGTATAAATAATTCGTTTTAAAAAATATTTAATATTTTATTTATAATTTAGTAAAATATTAATAAAAAATATATTAATTATTTAAAAATAGAATTGGGCAGGTCGAGATATGAGGGAAATACATTTTCCGTTCTAGGAGTGGCAACCTGCTCGTGCAAAGATTTTTATCATCCCTAACGTAGAGACGTGGAAAATAAAAGTTTAGAGAGATCAAATCAAACATTTTAAAGAGAAATTTTAGAGACGAAAATATCTAGAGAATAAAATTTTAGTGAGAGAAAGTTAAAAAAAAGAACAGATTTTAGAGAGATTGATTATTGAAAAATAAAATGAAATTCTGAAATTTGAAATCTGTTTTAAAATTTTTCTTTTCTTATTTTGATAGAATTTTAAATATATTTTTAAAAAGTAGAAAATATAAAATTAAATTGGATATAAAACAAATATTGTTTTAAAAAACAAAAACAAAAAATTAATAATAGAAAATGAAAGAATTTGTCCAATAGTTTAAACTTTCGAATGACAAGGAACGAAAATAAAATGGAGTTAAGAGTTGTCACGGACATATTCTCTATTTCTAAAACTTAGGATATATTTGGTGTCATAGATGAGGTAAAGATAAATGATTAAGGAGTGGCCAAAACGAGCATATCCCAACCATAATTGACATATTTCTTCGATGAAGAGGTTGTGAGTTCGATTCTCACCTCACATGTTGTACTAAGAAAAAACTAAGGAGTGAAATGTCCCATTTATCCCTGAAATCCAACAAAGAGGTTGTGAGTTTATCTCACATGTTGTATTTAAAAAAAATCCAATAAATTTAAAGAAGATTATAATAAATGACACAAAATAGATATGTATTTATAAAAATATCATTACTTTTTTTTAAATGTCA